AGAGGGAGAAAATGAAACGGGTGGAGATGAAATTGATTTAGGGTTGTATATATAAATATTTAATTATTACTTTCATACCTGAGTTTTGATTAAAACTATTTTGCACCTGATTTTTGCACTTGGATCTTCAAATGTCTGAAAATATGTAATTTCCTCTTAAAACTATGGATCAAAATCCATTTAAAAGGACCATTGGTATCAAGAATACAAACGTTTGGAATCATTCACACCAAAATTTAAAAGTTTGGACAAAAAATACAAGATGGTCAGATGTTTGGAATCGTTTGCGCATGTTTCTTCTCCCAGATTTTTCTAAATTAAGCCTTGTTTGGACTCCATTTTCATTTTAATGTTTCTTGCTTTTTATTTTCAATCACATTTTCAATAAAATAATATTATATGTAAACTTAATTTTTTTAATCACATATTCTCCAAAAAATTAATATTCCAAAATGAGTAACGTTATTCATAGTAAAAACATTTTACATGACATACGTGTAGTTGTTTGTTATTTGGTGCATGAGGCAATAAAAAATTATCGCATTAATATATCAAATAATAAATTATCACATTTCTGTATATATATATATATATATCATGTAGAACGACTACCGATAATTCTTACTATCAATAATATCATTCTTCTAAAATACATTTTTCATTGAAATCTCGGTAAGACGGAGCCTAAACACGCCTAAAGCCCAAAAAAAAAACGAACGAACATCTGTCAAATAAAAAAACAAAAATATAAAATGATGTGGAACAGCTTCCCTTCTTCCTCTTGGGAGATTTTCTTTTCACCCTGCATAGGCCATCTCTCTCATCCCTTCACAAATTCACGAATCAAGAAAATTATACTACAACAAATTCATAAAGAAAACACACTCTTAATTCACTTAAATTAATCAGTTCTTTTTTTTTTTTTTCCCAAAAGAGGACTCCGATTTCAGAAGCAGTTTCAATTTAAATACTAGAAAGCCATGGATGCAGATTCTTGGGCTGCTCGTCTTTCTTCTGCCTCCAGGCGTTATCAATCTGTTCTTCAATCTCGATCTGGTATACAGAACCCCGAATTTTCCGTTTTAGAGCGTGTAGTTTTCATTTGGGTTTTCTTTCATTTGACCAAGAAATTTGTATTTACCTTAAAGATTGCATTTTTATGGATCTTTTAGCGAGGTATTCTGTAGTCAAATTGAAGATTGGAATTTTTCGAGGGTTTTGTTAAATTAACAAGAACTTCTATTAAAAACTTGATTTATTTTTTATTTTTTTGTGGGTTCCTTGAAACCATAATTAAATATAAGCGGTCATTAATATTGAATCTTTATGAGGCCTTTCGGAGATCAAATTTTTAAATATCGTTTGTTAAGTCCACAAAATGATTGTACATTTCCATCAAATATTGGCTTTTTATCTGGATTTGTGAACTTTAATAAGAGCTTGTTTGTCTCCCATTATTGGGAGAAAATTAGTGTAATGAATAGTATTTTTTGGAGAATGTGTGGTTGAAAATTAAAGTAACTTTATTGGTTTGTGTGTTGAATATTTTATTGGGTGAATATGTGGTAGAGAATCTTACTGTAGCAAACAATTTTTTGGATTAATGGTAGACAATCAGGGGCTAAATGTGTATTTTTAATTAAAGATTGGTCTCTAATGAGTTCTTTGTGCGGGATACCCTGGCAGGGATAAAGTGGGAGGGTCTCAATGTAGAAATGTTAATGGGATTCGAGGAAATGGACATGGATGATGATGTAAGGGAGGAGTATCCATGCCCGTTCTGTTCGGAATATTTTGATATTGTGGGACTCTGTTTCCATATAGATGACGAGCATCCTGTAGAAGCAAAGAATGGGGTATAATTCCTTTTCTTTTGATTCTTTTTATGATTGCTGAACAATCTGTATGGATCGAAAGGTTTTGGAACATGATAATTTTTAATGCCATATGATTCGAATTTGAGAAGCAAGTTCAAGAAATACCAATAGTTCATATTTTACTCGTTTTACATGTCCCAAGAAGGTTGAAAATGATTTGTTCCCTCCTTCCTCTATCCTGCTTGGAGGAGGTTAGGAACATTCAATTCATATGGTTAGTTTTTAGGTTTGATTTCCAATGGTTGCTGTAAATCATGGACGCATGAACAAAAGGGGTCAGGAATGGATTTGATTATATTGCTTTTATAGGTTTAACATTTCCCGAATGGGAAAAGAACATTAAGACACATACTTCGCTGAAGTGAAGCAAAAATTATATGGAAATAAGAAACCACTTTGTAGGCACACTATATTCACTAAAATTTTGACTTTTCATCAATTTCCATTACATTTTAGCTGCTATAAAGTTGCCTATAAGGTTAGCAAAATCAATGCTACAGTAATAGGGGACTACAAGAAATCAACCATCCAAATTGAACAGCCTAAACAATCAGCGTCAGATAGCAAAGAAAAAGTCAACATCAGTTGACAAACTAAAAGAAAAATAGACCAAGGATGCCTTTTTATTTCCTTTTCTTTTTTAATATCTTGTGGTGTTATTTCATTGGTGCCACTGGGAGGGTTGGCGTTGTAGGTAATTTGACATGGAACATTTTTTCTTCTGTTGAGAACTGGATGTTAGTATACTTTCATTTGCACAAATCATGATGAGTAAACAAATTAGTATGTTCCTTTTCAAAGTGTAGTTGCTAACAGAGGTCTTCTCCTTAACTCTTTCAGGTGTGTCCAATTTGTGTGATGAGGGTTGGTGTTGACATGGTTGCACATATTACATTGCAACATGGGAATACCTTTAAGATATCCTTTCTTTCAGTCACACTTTTTCTTATGTTGTGGGTTTTCTTGAATTCCTTCTTGCACTATTCTTGTATTTTATTTTATTTTTTATCCGAAACATGGTTATTCTGTGAGCATATTAATGTGTCCTGGTTGTGCATACATTACATTGCAACACTAGCCTTTAAGATATCTTTTTCTTGCAGTTGCTTCCTTTTTTAAAATTCTTTGTTGCTCTATTCTATATTCTCTTTGTTTCTTTGATATATGTGTATGAGGAATTAAAGTATTCACATGGATACTGCATGCGGTAATTTCTTAAGGACCAAAGTAGCTAGAGGAAAGGAAACCTACTTGTTCTAAAATTTCTCTCTCTAGTCAATAACAATCTTGAAGAGGGTGAATATGTTGTTTAGTTCAAAATTTCCGGATTTTCAATATTGTTAAATTTATCTGAAATGTGCAATGTATCATTTGAACTTTGTGACACACATATTGATTGATGTTGGCACATTAACTGAAACAAGTGCAGAAGAACAATTTTTAATTTTACTGATTTGATGGGTTTCTGTTCATAAAGTATTGTCCTTCAGATTTATTTTTGGACATTAATTTTTATTATATATTTTTCAATACTCATCAATATGTTGGTTTGATGCCGAGTTACCCTTAAACACATTATGTTCTTAATCAATGTAAGAATACTAGTGCTGAATGATTATGTAGGACTTCTTCAACAAAGTGATAATTTGTGTGTTTGTGGGTGTGATTTGTGTGGTATTTATAGGTGCATTTAGGGGTACTAAAAGGAAAGTGTCATAATAGTGTTCCTATAATTGTGTTCTAAATAAGGTAATGAGTTATACTAATTTTCACAATTAATCATAGTCATACATAATTATATACATATATAGATGCACGTAATTATAGAATTCCTATAATTTAAATCAATAAGTCATAATTATATACATATATAGACACGTAATTATAGTAATCATATAATTTAAGCCAATCAATCATAATTATGGGAAATAGAGTTTTGAATAGTGATTTTCAAAGAATGTTTGGTTAAAAAATACAGAAAAGTCTTGGGTTTATGTACAAAATATGTTATTGTGTGGATGTGTGATTAAAAAATGAGTATTTAGAAAAAAAAGTTTAAAAATAATGGTTGTCAAACGGGGGCTTATTTAGGAAGGAATCTTCCTAATTTATCTTTCATACATAAGGATGTTTACTTTATTCCATCCAATTTTTTCATATGTGTGTGTGTGTGTGTAAACCATAAATATTCATATCATATACATAATTCAGGAAATTGTACTTGTAGTCCTTCAACTATTGGCCGATATGCAATTTTATTCCTTAACTTTCATCCTCTTGCACTAACGTCCTAATTTTCATAAATAACGACTATACAATATTTTGGGGTATTATATAATTAGCACTGCTTTATTCTGTATTTCCCACTATGACATTACCTAGAAAACAAAAGTGAGACATTTAAAGAGAAGAAATTTTAGAAATTTTATACAAAAGTTTTTCTTTCCTTATTTTTCACTCTGCATACGACCCTATGTTAGCCTCTCTTTTCTTGTATCCTATATAATTCTCTACGCCTTAGGAAAAGAATTGAAGAAAAACGAGGAAGAGAATTGAAGAAAAACGAATCTGGTCTACGAAAATGAACAAAGTAAGATCGTTGGGTGTGAACACATTCCTCAGGATTTCATTTCCAGACAAGGTCACGAATAATATTTGCACAATATTTTCCTTTTAAACATGTTTTGCACACTATTGTTTAACACACGCTATTGTAATTGATAAGATTTGAAAGTCGAACTTGCAAACAAATATAAAATAAGTTCTCAAATTAGTATCACGTAACTAAAGTATAATTTCTACTAGAAGTAGAAACAACGCTAATTAAGATACTAATAAGATATTTAAGGCAATCATCTACATATTTGATTCCCCTATCATCCTTCTCATCACTTCCCTTTTCCTCTCATTCTTTGTGATTCTCCACTTCACATTTTAGAAGAAAGAACTATAATTGTATTCTTTGGTTAGTTAAAAAAGATATCTTCTCCTTCCATTTCATGTATAGGAAAGAAAAAAATAAAAAAAGACGAGATTCTAGGTTATGAAAAAATGAAAGCCCAAAATATAAGCTAAGGTTAGTAATAAAGTGCCTAGAAAAGGTAAGACAATGGGCAAACGCCTTAGTCAACTTGTAGTGTAGCTTTGAGTCGTAAACCTCATTAAATCAAAGCACAAGCCTCCCATATGGCATTTACGGCCTATGCTTTGATGTGTTTAATGAAAGCCTCACTTGAGGCGGGATTCAAGGCGTTAGCCTCAAAAAATTTTTCAAATGATGTGTATATGAGCTATTTATAGCAAGGAGGGTCACACGTAAAAAATTTCCTATATCTAGACTTATGAACATGTGTACATTGCATGTCCAAATAGTGACAAACATAACTGATGAGAGTGTATTAATTTGACAATGAACAAGAAGAGAAAGGGTTCCAAGAAGAGAAGAATTGAGTGCAAAGAAGAAGTATGATCAAGGGGTTGAATATTAAAGAATTTCATAATTGAAATTAAACTATATTTTAAAATCTTAATTAATTTTTAAATCTATCTCCATCATTGGCACTTGCTTTTTATTAGTTATTTGGTTTCGTAGTTCCATAATTTTGTCAATCAACGTATTGATATCCAGCATTTAAGAAAGCCAACCGATTGCATTTTCCTTTACAGTCAATTTTAATAATTCAAAATTGTTCCTGTGTTTAAAGATGAAGAATTTCTTGGTCCTTCATTTTCAGCTTCTATCCGAAACATATGCTTCATGAGATATAGTAACTAGGACGATTTCGGAAGGGAGTGAATGCAAGAAATAGATTTATAGAGTTGAACTATTGTTTTTTCCTGTGTGTATGTGAAGGGTGGAGAAGAGGGGGAGAAAAGTAAAACGTATCGCATAGAGTTTGCCTCAGCTAGATTGATGGTCGAGTTGACCCTACACTGAGCCCGATGAAAAATTAAAACAGTGCTTTGACTCGAAGGCTATTTTTAAATGAGGGTCAAATAGACATTTTGTGACTCATTAAGTGAGAAGAAGGCTATGACGAAAATTTTAAAAAGGCAGCCATTTTCGTCTTGGCCTTCAGAAAAAGGTCTAAAAATATTTCCTCCCTTTGTATTGATGCTTCAGCCTAAGTACTGTTTTCTAACAATAGATTTGAAATTTAGTGGCATTGAATACTTCTTTTTTTTTGTTGCATTCATTTTTACTCCAAAGGAGATTTTTGGACTGGACTTCTTGAAAACTAAGTATGGTAACCATGTGAAGATCAACTTCTTTTGCTCCCAAATATTTTTGTTTGATATTTATTGGAAAAAGTGTTACTGCTTGTGCATCTCACGAAGGAATCATTGTGAGGAATCCATATGCCTTGAGATCCTTGACTAGATATTACATGCAGCGCAAGAGAAAATCACTTAAAGCTGGTTCACATTCAACACTATCCTTGTTGAGGAGGCAACTAAGGGAAGGAAATTTGCAGTCTCTCTTTGGAGGGTCTTCCTGTATAGTATCTTCAAGCAATGCAGCCCCAGACCCATTGTTGTCATCATTTGTTTCGCCAGTGGGTGATGATTTCACGAGTGCTCAATCACACTCTTCATCAAAGTCAAATTCAGTGAAGAAAAGCTCTGCCAGAAATGTTTTAGAAAGGTGATAAATTGCTTTCTTATTTCCTTTTGTTTGTTCTGGTTGGCTACTATTTCTGTATCTGAGGATTTGGTTACTCATGCCAGAATCTCACCGGAAAGTTAGGCATAAATAGAAGTGGGGAGTGATAAGAATCAATTAGAAATGTCAAGATTCTTCCTTTTTCTTGATGTTCAAACTTCTTCTGGCCTTGAAGTGTTTTTCTTTACAATGCTTTTCGAGGAAAAAAGTTTAGAAATGGTAAAACCAATTACCAGCTATATACATTTTTAAGTTTTTGCATATACTTGGTGATTATATGTTGTTCGGTCTGCTGCTCCATATAATGGAAAGAACTCATCTGGCCATAGTTTTGACCATCAGCCAATCTGTTGCCAACGCAGGTAATGTTTCTATAATTCTGAAGCTAATTGACGAGAGAATCGCTCGATATTGAACAGCCATTGCAAATATTAGGGTTTCAAGATGATGCCTCTTTAGGATGTGAAATTCATCCACTTTGAATGTTTGTGTCAACTACTATATTGTCAATTACATTTGAAGCACGAAGATGTCTTACACATTGGCATCGTATGCCATTGAAACAAGCTATTGGCTCAAAGAAAAATCACGCTTGCCTTAATGGCAAATTGAATTATGATTCTCATGATCGTATTTATGTAATTTAAAACATGCTTCTCAATTTATTGCAACTTTAGTCCTCACCCTTTGAATGCATATGTTACAATTATAGATTTGTGACATACAAGTCCTTACTCCTTTGTGGGAAATATTGAACAAGCCCGTTCTACAGGATTTTAGTATTGCCCAAACCGTGTAGCCCCATCATGTTTTTATTTCCAATAACCTTTTAACTATTTTTTAGTTGCATTGTTTCAGTGTCCAAAACTGAAAGCTCAAATGGATAGATATGTAAGAGTGCTGTCAATCTTTTCTATTATCTGGAAAATATGAATCTGAAAAATTACCACGTTGTCTCCAAATAATTGTGCTAAATTATTGCATTGTAGTAGTTAGGTGCGCAGAAAAGGCTTGTTCTTTATGTGAATTCATGTTTGTGTACTATTTTTGTTCTTCACAACAAAAAGTTTTGCATTTGATTGAATCTTTTTATTGTGAATATTGGTAATTATCTTTGAATTAGTTACATACATTTGGAGAACATGCTTTTATTATTATTATTATTATTTTTTATTTGTAGAATATGACACTAGATAAGAGTTGATGGAGATATTGACCCAAAGATGCACTTTATATGCTTGAATCAAGTGCTGTATTTATTATTTATTCTGTGGATTTTGTTACCAAAATTGTCTTTAAAGGCTTCTTATGTTAATCTTCTTTTGGGTTTTAATTCTGTATGATGATATTTGTCAATGGGTATGGGAAATGCAACATGATGATCAGTGGATGATTTTGCTTAGTATACTATTTACTCTCTTTAGAATGTTAATTGATGTTATTGTGCCTTGAACTTCGTGCATCTTGCCTGTTTGTGCACTTTACAATGATTAAGATGGTCCCTCCCTCCTATTCCTCTCATTTGTATGATACTATTTAGAGACGTTTATTTCTTGTAACGCGATTATTTTTCTTTTATTGATTACATATAAACATGTACAAAATCATGGGGAATCATGTAACCTCTGCTCAGTGATAATCTCGCTTTAAATTTTTACCAGGGAAATTTGTTTTTAGCTGGTGCAGATGGTTGAACTACTTCGTATTTGTACTGTAACTCTCTTATCAGTAATTACGAGACAAGAAAGGGAACAACAACATTTTAATCCACATTCTTGTGATGTTCCTATGCCTGGTCATTATGCGGTTGGTTTTTTTAAGTTTGTGGGAATGCTTAACTCTATTATTGGATTCTATTTGCAGAAAGGTCCGAGAAGCTCCCATGTCTATCAAAGATCAAGAGGAGAAGTCACAGAGATGCACATTTGTTCAAGGAATGCTGTTGTCCACAATTATTGTTCATGATAACGTATGAGGTTCAACATTGCTGCTAGGTTTGCGAACCATAAGTTTGCCGGTACAACCTGTGTGACAGGTTATCTATCAGTACTGTACAGGTTCGTGAATTAAAAGTGTAATAATAAATGTAATTTATGTTGTGTCTGGAACCAGTAGTAGATAGAATGGACTCGTTCATCCCATTTTGATTTCAGTTTGTGCTTTGACGAAAGTTAATAAGTATACTCTTCCATAATCTGTGTGTTGATTTCGTTCTGGTTAGCGTTGCTAGTTGTGCATATTTATATCTATACGAACAAATTACTGCTTGGTTCGCATGTTTTGCTGAGCTTGTAGCGGGATTTCATGTAGGTTACTGACCTAAATTTGACTAACCGAAATGGTGATGTGGCAATCTAGTTATTTGCCAATTAGAGTGACACCAGCTTTTGTCAGTCGGGTTAATGGAAATTATCAAATTTAGTCAATTTGACAACCCTTTTTATTTTTTAATGGTAATTCTTTGAAGAATATGCGGTTAAAATATAGAAAAAATTTAGTGTACGTGAAGAATATTTTATTATAAAAATGTGTGGTTAAAAATGAGAATGAGAAAAAATGAGTTTTGAAAGAATGGTTGTCAAAACAAACTTTCTGGTTCAATGACCAACTTGGAGCCATAAGCTTTTTCTCGATTGTTTCGGGACGAAAGAAAATTTGATTACAATTTGTAGAAAGTTTGCAATATAAAATTAAGATGTATTGAAAGTAAATTGATCATTGATTGTGTGAAAGATAGAAATTACAATTGATGAAAGTGGGAAATTACAATGGCTGGTGCAGGGGGCGAATATCAGAAAGCTTGAAAAATTATTTGAAAGACTAATTCCTCCTATAATAGCTTGCGGAACAAAAACCTGACGTTTAAATGACGAGGAATCATACTAAACATTTACCAACATCAGAGCTATTTTACAATGGTCAGGTCTTGGGTTTGCTCCCAAATGGTCACCAATTCGAGTCCCCTCAAGTATCCGACCGTAAACTTCAGGGCCTTGTGGGATTAGTCGAGGTGCGCGCAAGTTGGTTCGGATATCCACGGTTATAAAAAAAAATATTTACAATGTGCAGCTGAAATTGGGCAAACTGCGACTGCGATTGGGTCAAGAGG